CCACCGATTTGAAAACCATCTTGTTATATATCAAGTGTCCTTTAATGTGTGGTTCTGTTTCTGGATTCTCTAGTCTGCTCTCTCGGTCTATGTATCTATCCCTGCAACAATACCACACTCACCTAAATTCTATAGTTTTGTAAGTCGTTCTATCTAAGAGGGCCATTTTCCCCACCTTACAATTCTTCTTCAAGAGGCCTTTGAACCTCAGTATAAATTTGAGAATCATTTTATCAAAGGTCCACAAAATAATAAGGTCGGGATTTTCATTAGGATTACACTGACTCTATAAATAAAACCTGGGAAAACTGACATTCACATTATACTGAGTCTTTCTTGTATCTTTCTCCATTGTTTAAGTATCTCTTAATTTCTTTCAATACAGTTTTATCATTTTCACCATTAGGGTTTTGTAAAGCTTTTGTTAAATTTATTCCTATGTGTTTCATATTTCTCTATGCTGTTGTAAATGGCATGTTTTTAAATTTTCATTTTCTAACTGATGTTTCCTGGTATATAAAAATGTAAATTCTTTTTATATATTGGTTTTTGTATCCAGCCAACTTGCTAAATTATTATTTCTAAACACATTTTGTACATTCTTTTGGATCTTCCATGTAGACATTCAAGTCATCTATGGATAACAACAGACTTATTACTTGCCTCCCAACCCTAACAGATTTTTTTTACTGACTTACTATGTTGGCTAGCTCCACTATGATGATCAACATAATTGGTAGTGGGCATCCTTGACAAGCTCCCATTCTAATGGGAATTCTTTGAACTTTCAGCTAATATTAAGAATGTTTTGGAAGCAACCAAGATGTCCTTTAGTATATGAATGGATAAATAAACTGTTACATCCAGACAATGGAATATTATTCAGTGCAAAAAAGAAATGAGGTATCAAGCCATGAAAAGACATGGAGGAACCTTAAATGCATATTACTAAGGGAAAGAAGCCAATCTGAAAGGGCTACATACTGCATGTTTCCAACTATATGACATTCTGGAAAAGGCAAAATTATGGAGTCGGTTAAAAGATCAGTGGTTGCCGGGGGCTCAGGGGGAGGGAGAGGGGGATGAATAGGTGGAGCAGAGAGGATTTTTAGGGCAGTAAAACTATTCTTTATGGTGCTGTAATGGTGAATATATGTCATTATACATTTGCCAAAACCACAGAATGTACAATACAGTGAACCCTAATGTAAACCTATAGACTTTAGTTAATAACGATGTATCAATATTGGCTTATCAATTATAACAAGCGTACTGCATTAACGCAAGATGCTATTAATTAGGGGTGTATGGGGGGGAAAGAAAGAATGGTGTTTAACGTCTGTGGTAGTGTTTTCTATAGATACCTTTTGCCAGATTAAGTAAATTCTCGTGTTTCTAGTTTAAGTTTTTTTCCTTTAATCACAAACGCATGTTGACTTTTTACAAATGATTTTCTGTATCAAGACGCTCATATGATTTTTCTCCCTTAATATGTTAATTTGCTAAATTATTAGATATTTGTATGTTTGTGGAGCTCATAACCCTGGCTTTCATAACACTCTGGCCACTGGTTCATACAAGCCACCTTTTATTTAATAATATAATAAATACCTGTGAACCCAACATAGAAACTAGAAAATTGACATAAATATTTATACACCTATGTGATCTTCCTCCATTCCATCCCCCGACCTCCTCCCCTTACCCAGAGTATTTCCTGAATCTTGTAATCCTCCCACATATAGACAGAGACAGAGGTGTGTGTGTGTGTACATATAAACATATACATATATTTTTTTTAACAGAGCAGCTTTTAATATATTTATATCCAACAGAACTTCCTAAGGAACAATTCTTATTGTACAGGTCAGTGCCCTGGGTGGGTGAGGCATTCCCCCAGGTGGAATACATACATATATTCCTGGAAAGTATATTTTTTGTTAAGTTTACATTGCTCTAACTCTGAGCATCATGGTACATTTAATCTTTTTGGAACTTATTCACTCAATTTTATGTAGTAGAAATTTTGCATATAGATGTAGTTCAATCATTTTGATAGCTATATAATAATCACTTGAGAATATACTTTATTTAGCCATTCCCCTGTCTGTGGGCATCTGGACTGTTTGCAGGTTTTTGCTTTTACAAATAATGCTATAAACTTTTTGTACATGTCTCCTGGTATATATCTGCAAGTTTCTTCTGCACTTAGGAGTGGAAATGCTGGTAGATAAGTATATAAATGTTTAACTATTAAGATAATGCCAAACTCTTTCATAAATGGCTGTACCACCATTCCCACCACAAAACCTTAAGTGATACTTTTGATCCAGATCCTTTCCAACACTTGGTACCGTCAGATCTTTGATTTTTACCACATGAATGGGCATAAAATGATTATCATACTGTAGTCTTTATATGCTGTTCACGTTATTTTCTTATCTTTTCACTGTTTGCAATATCTTTAGTTATATCCTCTTTTTTTCTCCTCATTTTGGTTACATGTGCCTTCTTTCTCCTTGAATGATCTTAACAAACATTTGTCAGTTTTATTATTCCTTTTAGCTTACTCGATATTCTCTACTTAATATTCATTTCTATTTCATTAATTTTTGCTCATAACTTTATTATTCCCTTCGCCTATCATCCTTTCTAAAATGAGGATTTACAACTATAATTTCCCCTCAAAGAACTGTTTAGCTAAGAGTTTTCATCTGTAGTGTTTCCATGAACCTTCAGCTCCAAATATTTTCTAATTTTTATTTAAAATTTTCTGTGACCTGACTTCTTTGGAACTATATTAAATTTTTCTAGTTACTCTTTAGTTATTGTTTTATAGCTTTATTACAGTATTATCAGAAAACATTCTATGAGTTATTTCAATCTTCTAATATTTGTTTAAACTACCGAGTGCTAGAAAAGGTTTATCCTGAAGTTGTTGGGGACGGTGTCCTATATGTATGCTCGTTAGGAGACGTTTGTTAGAAGGAAATCCATGGCTCTGAATACAAATTTAAAAAGTTGAAAAATAACTAAGCATAACTGAAAATGTAAGCGAGAGAGTACACCCAAAGAAACAATAAGGAAGAAAATAATAAAGGGTAGAACCCAATATAAAACAATAAAATGGTATAGAAAAAAGATTATTAGCACCTATAAGCTCCTTCTTTAAAGACTATTATAGACAACTTCAAGAAAGACTGTTCAACAAAATAATAATAAAATGCAAGTAAATATAATAAACTTAAATCAGGGGACAAATTATAGCTATCATAAAGATTTAAAAAGTAAAGTTCTACTATAAGAAAAACTATACTCAAATATTTTTGAAAACCTACAATAAATAAATTAGGAAAAATATATTAATGACACTATATAAATAGTGTCAAAGCACTATATAAAATAGAAAACTTGAATAGGACAATAACATAAAAGGAATTAAAACAGTAATCTAAAAATCTGTTGATAAAAAACAACTTTTCCCAGATGGTCTAACAGGGGAGTTTCATTAAATTAGAATAGATAATCTCTATGTTATATAAATTTATGAAAAATTGTGAGATGTCCAATCCATTTTTCATGTTAGTACAACCTTAAAAAAAAACTGATGAAGACAACATGGAAAAGAAAATCACAGGCCAATTTCACTAACAAACATAGAGGTAAACTCCCTAAATAAAATATTAGCTAACAGAATCCAACTG